GGCCTCGAACTCACAGAGATCCGCCTGGCTCTGCCTCCCGAGTGCTGGGATTAAAGGCGTGCGCCACCACTGCCCGGCGACACGTTTGTTTTTTAAAGGTTCCTAAACCAAGTGTAATCAGGGGGGCCGCGTGTCTCTTTGATTTGGCTGGAGTGGATTGAACCAGCTCATGACGCCCTGTTTCTTAGCAATCTGATCATGGGCAACGCCTACCTCCATGGCCTTCATTTTTGATTTTTTTTTTTTTTTGGTAAGGGTGGATAGGAGGGGAGTCTTGTTTTGTAGCTTATGCTGGCCTTGAACTCACATTCATCTTGCCTTAAGGCAAATCAGAAGACTATGGGTACATGCCAACACTCCAGCTAGTTTCCATGATTTTCATGTCTCAGAATCTAAACTTCTTTGAGTTTTAGCTTGCTGTCATTTAGTTTGCTATAATTTCTATATTCTATAGAAATGTGTTAACTGTGCCCTAGTATTTTCTGCTTCTTGGCAGAGACTGGACTGAATCCTGGAGACTCAAAGGGAGCTTTTCTATATACTTGTTCCAGCCTCAATGGCTATACCCTGATAATAAAATAGAATACATGGGTAGATTTATTAAGTATCTACTTTAGGGCAGGCGCTGTGATAGACTTTTTATTTTTAGTTTTTTGTCTCTGGTCTTTGTTACTATGTAGCTGGAGATATACAGGCTTGGTGAGCAGTGAATGTGAGGCTGGCCTGCTGGTCATTAGCAGAGCAGGCTGTGAAATTAGAGGGGGCTTCAGAGCCTGAACTCTGTCCATTCAGTTTTTCTGTGACCATGCGGCATCTGAAGGCACCATGCCTGACTAAACTGTGTTCTTTCAGAAGAGCCTCAAAACCAACCACCCTCTCAGGCCAGCACAGGGCGGGAGAGAACTTGACTGCAACCCAAGTGTAGAAGGGGCTTCACAGTTTGTGTGTATGATCTGACATATCTGACGAGCGATTCCTTTCCAACATCTTTCTTTGGCAAATAAGCAAAAGCTTGATACTACTGTGAAGGATTTTCTCTACTGTCTTGTGCAATGTATCATCACTATTCATGCCTTTATTCTTTCCCCATGAGATATCTCTCACACTATGAACAGTCTGTAAGTGTTGGCTGAATGAAGTCATATTAAGCATGGGACTTCTAGAAATGAATTATGCATAATGGGCTAGATTTTGGAGAGTGAGTTTTGGCGTGTTTCACTGTATAGTCTAAGCTGGCCTGGGACTTTGTATGGATTCCAGGCTGGCCTTGAACTCAAAATCCTCCTGCCTCAGATTTCCTAAGTGTGCAGCACCAAGCCTAGCTATGAGCTTAGTTTTAACCAGTACTTACTCCCATGGTTTTCATTCATAGAAATTCACAGATTTTCACTACCAGCACAGCTTGCCGACAGTGTCTTCAGTAACTATTCCTTGAATGAGTAAAGGATGAAGTGTCCTTTAGAAGCTGCATTTTGCTTATTTCTGTTTTGCAAGTAGTTTTATTTTTGCTTCAATTATAACAAAATAACCATAACTTAAGACTATTTTAACTGTTTCTAAGTGTATAGTTCTGTGGCATTAATTACATTCACATCATTTTGAAACCATTACCTCCCACCATTCATTCGTTAGGACTTTAAGAGTTTGAAGGCTGCAAATAAAATACTAAATCTCCATCTGTTATCCTAGCGTTTTTTAATTTAAAAAAGTTAACTTTATCTGTCTACTTGTTTATTCACCTACCTACCTACCAACCTACCAATTTGTTTATCCTTTAACTTAGGATCCTGTGTATGCTAAGCAGTCCCCAGTCTCCAAGCAATTGATTAAATGGAAAAATGGCATTCCTTGATTTAAATATTTAGGATGTATTAGCCTTTAAAGACCACCAGTCGATAACTGAATTCTTCTGTGTCCTTTGCCTAGTGGAATGAAACGGTGGAGCTTTTTCGTGCCCGGATGCCTTTACGGAGACACCGCTGTCGTTTCAAGAGTCACGAGAACTGCTTCACAGCAGCGGAAGCGGTGGATTGGCTGCACGAGCTCCTGAGGAACAGTCAGAACTTTGGGCCCGAGGTCACTCGCAAGCAAACAGTCCAGCTGCTAAAAAAATTCCTGAAGAATCACGTTATTGAAGACGTCAAGGGAAAATGGGGTCAGGAGGATTTTGAAGACAACCGGCACCTCTACAGGTAACGGCAGCGTGTGAACGCTGCAGGACTATAGGGAGATTGAGTGCGTCTGCTCAGCATCTGGAAACTTCCTGAAGTGGAAGAATTTACTGTGTCCACTGAAGCGATGATTCTGTTTGTAATGTGCTAAGTGCCTAACTGAATGGGCTGTTAAAATAAAACCAATTGCAATTTGTCCTGCTCCACCAGAGCACCTCAGAACAGGGTCTTGATGTGATGCTTTTCCGGTAGGGGAGAATTTCCATGCCTTCTGCTTGCCTGGGAGGGTGAGTGTAGGTAGTGACTTAGTACTTCTAGAGTGCCCGAGGAGGTGAAACGGTACCTCTGGGCTTAGCTTTGCTGAGCACTAAGGTTTGGAATACTCAGCGGCAGACTGTCTGGTCTGGAAACAGCGCAGGGTACATGTGTGGACTGTGTTAGAATTCCTTGCCATCTCTGACTGAGCCTGGTGTTGCCAAGCCCGCCTTCATCCATGTGATTTGCTGACAACATTTTATGATGTGGATATTTACCACCAGGTAATCTGAGGGAAATGGAGATCTCCTATAGTACTTTCTCACGGACCCGTAGGGTATTTTGCTGATGGAGGCCAAGGAGACTTCCCTGAAATTCAGGTGATGGAAGGTGACTAGAGAGGAATGGCATCATGCAGGCTCAGAGAGGAACTGCTTTATCGACCGCAGAAGCCTGTCAGTGCCGAGAACGAGAGGGGGCCTAACACAGGAGTGGAGAACGCAGACTCTTAGCTCTTGTTCTCCTTTATTCTAACCGGAAAACAAGACCCTGATTCCAACACGTCTAATGAGTATGTTGCCCCAGGACACATGGCTTCGAGCAAAGTGAAGCTGCTGTCTTGTACCTGATCCATTTCTTTGTTTCCCTCTTAGACTAGCATCTGTGCAAAGCAGGGCAGGGTGAGGGTGCTCGTGTGCATGTAGGGCTAACGACAGGCGCTGTTGTGCATTTCCGGCCAGACCTCTGTATGGAATGCCCTCCAAAGTCTCCAGTGCCCACACGTCAAGGTTGTCATGTGAGCAGTTAGTGGTGTCTCCATTTGGCAGTTATTTGCTGATCTAAGTTTAATTAGAGCCTTGAATGGTCTCAGCTCATTCTGAGGCCTGACTGCTTATTGGCCTCAGACAAGGCGAAGTCGAGTTCTGGTTCCACATGCCAAACTGCACTGGGGATTCTTTTTGTTGTTGTTGTTTTTTGAGACAAGGTCTATCTGTAGTTTTGGTGCCTGTCCTGGAACTTTCTCTGTAGACCAGGCTGGCCTTGAAACTCACAGAGATTTACCTGCCTCTGCCTCCTGAGTGCTGGGGTCAAAGGCTTGCGCCACCACCGCCCAGCTTCCATTGTGATCTTAAATAGGGCATTTCTCATTGAGTTCCTCGGAGGCTCTAGAATCCTCAGGAGAATAACATAGGAGCACTGATTACTAGAATTTTTCATTTTGGTATTAAGACTTAATTACACATCCCCTTTGATAAAAAAATTTCACAAATAGATTGTAGCTAGAGTTTTCCTGCCTGGCCCACAGTCAGGACAAATCTTTGTCACCCGCCAGTCCCACAGCCGCTCAGACCCATCCAAGTAAACACAGAGGAGACTTATATTGCTTACAAACTGTATGGCCATGGCAGGCTTCTTGCTAACTGTTCTTATATCTTAAATTAATCCATTTCCATAAATCTATACCTTGCCACGTGGCTTGTGGCTTACCAGCATCTTCACATGCTGCTTGTCCTGGCAGCGGCTGGCTGTGTCTTCTTCCACCTTCCTGTTTTCTCTGTTCTCCTCTGTTAGTCCCGCCTATACTTCCTGCCTGGCCACTGGCCAATCAGTGTTTTATTTATTGACATACAGACCATCCCACAGCAATAGATGATGTTTCTTCATTAAGTGTAGTGGTCCTTCGGGGTCCACCAAGTATTGGTTTCAGGAACTCCCCATGCATCCAAAGTATTGGTTTCAGGAACTCCCCATGTATCCAAAAATCTGCATATACTAAAGTTCCTTATGTAAAATTTAGTATTTGCATATAACCTATACACATCCCCTGTACATTAAATGCTCTCTAGATTACCTGTAATGCTTAATATGATATAAGTGCTACATAGTTATACTGCAATGTTATAAAATAATGACCAGCAGTACATATATTCCATCCAGATACAACCACTGTATTCCTAACGACACAGATCACAAACAGGAAGTGAGGTAAATAAGATGGGAGGCGAAGGATACTCTGCTGTAAGTGCTGACGAGAGTCTGAAAAAGTGTGAGGTGATAGGCTACAGCAATAACTTTTTGCTCGTATGGGCTGAGCATAGTATTTGATACACGGCAAATTCAAGTTTTGCTTTTTGAACTTTCTGGAAACCTTTTTTTTTTTTAAACTCTTTGAGATGATGGTCTTGCTATGTTGTTTGAGCTGGCCTTGAACTCCTGGGCTCAAAAGTGGTCCTTCTGTGTTAGTGTTCCGAAGGTCTGGGAGTACATATAGGAGCCACTGCACTTGCCTGGAAGTCTTTCTTCACATACTTTTGTGCCATGCTTGGGTGAATCTGAAGACATGGAACTTATGGATATGGAGGGCTGATTTTAATGATTTTTCTCCCTTGTCTCTTAACTCTGGTAACTGAATGCTTGTGAGTCATCAACAGGACAGCGTTTTGTCATTTAGTATCTGAAAACTCACTATCTCTTTGTTGTTTCCCGCATGAGAATTCTGTAAATGAACCACTAGGTTAATCTTGGTTGGAGTCTTTTTAAACACGTAAATCACTGGTGAAAGCGCCTGTGACTTGTATTGAGAGTGAGCTAATGAGTGTACATCCAGCTGTTGCTCACCCGCAGGCTTCTGGAATGGTGCTCGAGGTAGTTAGCGTCTCATGCTAGAGTTCTGGGGAGGGTTGCCTTTGCTGTTCTGACTGGCGTAGCTCCAGCTGCTTTCTTCAGGTGAAGAACACTAAAGCCAAGTTATCCTGAAAGCTGAAGAAGAGAGAATAAGTCTAGGCAGGCTAGATTTGAAGTGGACGGAGTCAGTGGTGGCGGGATTTAGGACGTACTCAAAGGATCCAGATTTATGGAAAGGAGTTCTTTCTAAGTCTAGAAAGTTCTGAAAAGGACAAGGAGGGGAGTTCTTGTTGGGAAGAAAGAAGCTAACATTCCAGAGCATCTCTGATGTTGCAGACTCAATATGTGATTTGCCATTTAACTCAGCTCCTGCAGATACAGAGCTGGTGTCCTCATTATATGATTATTTTCTCCTTTTTGGAGACAGAGTTTTACTCTGTGGTCCAGGATGGCTTGAACTTGTGGTAGCCCTGTCCCAGCCTTCTAAACACTGAGATTGTAGTCGTGAAGCACCACTCTGAGCTTTCCTAAATATTCATTTCCTAAATAGGAAATGAATAAAGCCAGGTTTACAAACACGTTCAGAGTCTTAGAGTTAGTAGTGGAGAATTCAACATTTTGAGGACTGTCTAAAGTCTGTGTACTTGTGCTATGCCAGGCTGCTCAGTTTCCACAAGCTGAGGTTGCCATGGCTTAACAGATAGTTAGTGATGAATAAACGCAGAGACTCTGAGGAAGGTCTGTGGCCTGTACATTTGCAGCCACGTAGTTCTTGTGATGCACGGTGATAGGCTGCCTTCTTTAAGAAAAGTTTCTCAAATGAGGGAGGTATGGGCAACAGTCCATCTAAACGCTCACCTAAGTGCAGCAGGGTGGTACCCTGAGAGTGTGCACTTAGAGAAAGCTAAGGAATGCCAACACTTCGTTCTCTTTTGTTTTGCTTTTTGTGTCTGGAGTGATTGATGGAGATCAAACCTAGGGTTTTCTACCTTTGGACTGTATCTCCAACACCTGACTGTGTTTTAAAGAGAAAAATTATATATACATGTCGAATAATTTTATAACACGGGTGAGGAATAAAGCCCTCATTCTGTAATGAGTCCAATTTCTATAGATTTTAAAGATGCTTGTATTTGTTTGGTGAATGCACTTAAATTAGCCATGGTTTTTCAGGAATCAAAGAGGAAATGAATGGGAAGAGTGAGCTTAGTGTATAAGAAGGCAAGTGATATTCTGCTGTCTGAATGTCCGTGAAATTAGAGAAGGTGCAATAGATAAGTTCCCAGCGTGGTCTAGGGTCCCTTCTCCCCTTTACCAATACCAGTGACTGCAGAGTCCTGGGTTTCAGTGATGGGTGCTTATAGATGAACCAGATGTTGGTCCTTTTAGCAGTTTTACATCCCCAGACTTCTGCTTGAGGGACACAGCTAGTTATACTACCCTGTATTTTAGCGTCAAATGTACTACCATTGTGCCATGGGATCACACGTTGCTGTGTTTTTATGAGCAGTTTTAAGCCGAACATGGTGATTGCACACTTGTAATCTCAGCACTCGAGAGGCTGTTTGTAGGAGGAGCTCAGTTTGACGCCACTCTGGACCATTGGGAGAACCTCTCCCCAAACTCAGAGTACAAGCGAAGTAAGATAATGCTGGAATGTATATCTGATGTTTGATCCCAAGCACAGAAAAAAAGGATTTTTTTTTTTTCCAGTTTATGAGGCAGTTCTATTTCAGGCATCTCATTTGATCTTCATGAGAAACTCATGGAGGGGGCTGGAGAGATGGCTCCCTGGGGAAGAGGGTGTGCTATGCAAGTATGAAGACCCGAGTTCAAAGCCCCAGTCCCTATGTGAAAATCAGGAATGGCCGTGAATCCCTTTTACCCTTGCGATGGGGACTGGGGACAAATGGATCCCAAGAGCTTGCTGGCCAGTCTGCCTAGATGAAGAGAGTGAGCTCTGGTTCAACAAGAGACCCTGTCTCAAAGCAGGAAGGCCGAAGTGACAGAAGAACACACTCTTTGTCTTGCTCTGACCTGTGCATGGTTGCATGCATCTGCAGTTATACATTCTTGCATTACACACACACACACACACACACACACACACACACACACACACACACACACTCACACAGGGT